GGGGGTTGAGGGGGGGGGGGGGGCGTACTCATAGTCGTGCATGCCGTAGTCGTTAGACCATTGACCTCGCATCCCTACAAAGCCGGGACGGAGCACGCCGGGTTCTCACCGGACCAGGCTCTCACATCACCAGGCGCGAAGCGCCGTGAGGTATTCGGCGAGTCGCATGAAGGGTGCGCTGCATCCTGCTAAGGGTGTTCGGCATCTTGTGCTTACTTCCTTGCATACGAATGACAGCTGCGTATGACTTCATTTATTTTCTGGTGCTTTCACTTCCAGAGACAGTTGTAAGCACTGTGTAACTGCCTCGAGGATGCTTGACCATTTCAACACAACGTGGTGCGATCATCCCCCTTGCGCGGAGTGAGGCTTCTCGACCCCGCACAACAGAATCTGCTCGACCACCATTCATGGTTACCGCAAAAAAAAAAACAGAGGTAAAAAAACGGTAACCTGGTTGCCGAGTACACGAAGTGACTTGGCTTGTTTTACAACGTCGTCGCCAAGCGACGAAAACCCAATCCCGATGGCAAAACACCGGGGCGGGGGGTGAGGGGGGGGGGGGGGGTTTTCCTATAAACCCCTGCCCCAATAATCCTTAAAACATTTACCTCCCATCCCGAAAGCCTTCCTGAGGGTTTTATTTTATACTTTTATATTATTAATCTATGAAATAAAAAAAAAGGGGTTTCTATCCCTATTCCTCACCCTAACCCCCCCCGGTACCTCCTACTAAAATCAAACTTAATATCATCCCCAAAGCTATTTTCCCAACCCGGGATGAACTTTAAGGGCGGGGGGGGGGGGGACCCTTTTTTTTTTGCATTTTTCCCGGGTAAAACCTTTAACCCCCCTCCCCCCAAAAAAGGAAAATGGTTTTCCCACCAACCAACACCCATTGGCCAACCTTTCTTTCCTCTTTTTCAAAAGGGGGTCAAAAAAAGGTTTCCCTATCTGTTTATTTTTACCAAATTACTTTCCCCCCTTTTTAACCCCTTTCTATTTCCCCCTAAAACTACCTTTTTTTTCC